AACAACAACAACAACAACAACAACAACAACAACAACAACAACCCTAAGGGTCGTCGGGCCACCTTAAGGGTCGGCCCACTTCATTTTAAATTATCAGGTAACAAGACACACAAACTTGTCCCGAGTCTTCGGTTGATTGTAGAATAAAAGAAACGTCAGAGGAATCCTGGTCAGCTGACAGGAAGTGACCTCACAGGGTTTCTCAGCAGCAGGTCACATGACCTCACCGAGCTCACCTTCACCTTCTTTCTCCGTTTCTTCTTGGTTCCTTTCTCCAAGGGCCAGATGAGCCGGTCGGCTTTCACCCACTCGTCGTACCTGAGGATCAGACACACCCGAGTGACTCTGTACCTTTAAATTACTGGAACCTGAGAACGTGCTCAACGAAGGGAAACTCTTCATCAACATCCTTTTGTGATTGGAGAGAGCGTGTCGGGGCGGGACTTGAGGATTTAACAGGACACTGGTTAAATCAGTGGTTCTCAAACTTTTTTTGTCACGCCCCACTTTGGAGGAAGAAAAATGTTCATGCCCCACCACCCCAACAAAATTGTAACAAAATGGTCCATGTTGAACTTTTATTGAAATAACAACATTTTGACTCCTCCATCTGTGCTTTTTCAAATAATAGAAGAAAGAAAATTGCAATTACTTTCAAGTAAACCAGATTGCTTCATCAGACAAAAACAAACAATGTGTAATCACTTTGTTAGAACAATGCAAATAAAGTTCAATCTGTGCAAAAAATAACTAATATTTGGCAACAAATAGCTTATTGTTGCTGCAATTCACCTGTTTTGCACCGAATATCTTTCTAAGATAATAACAATAAACTGCAACCTGTGAAAAACTAAACAAAACAAGTTCAAATATTTGGCAATAAAGAGTTTTACTGAGTTTTACAGCATATCTTTTCAAAACAACAATAACGTGCAACCTGTGCAAAACTAAACAAAATGCTCCAGATATGTGTCACATACCAGGAGCATTTTATTTTAAATATGAGCTTTAAAATGTAGCATTCTAAAAGTAAAATAATAGCTGTGATAATAATAATAGCTGCACGTGGGACTGTTGGTCCACTGGCTGTGGTCATCACAGTGAACAGTGTGATGAGAGGACATGTGAGCCCTTGTTGCTGTAGTTCATCTCATGGAGCAGAGGCTACATGTAGCATAGCCTGCCTTATCAATGTATTTAAAACACTGTGACAGCAGGAAGCTGTACTCATGTCTGTTTAGACCTCCACCTTTATCCAGGCCCAGCTCCACCTTTATCCAGGCCCAGCTCCACCTTTATCCAGGCCCAGCTCAACTCACATCTCAGCCCTGCGTCAAGCTGTGCTACAGACAGGGTCCTCTCCCTGAAGCTCTTTGACCTCATCATCATCAGTATCTGGGCCTCATGTTTCAAGTTATTCTGACCACGAAATCGCCTCATTCTTCTTTGAGTTAAAACAACCTGCAACCAGATGCGCCGGTGTTCCGGTTTAACGTTAATGAGTGACTGAACCGGAACACGGGGGGGCTGCATGTTTCATCACGTTACGTTTTTTCCTCCTAAATCGTGATAATGAGGAACGTTAACAGTCGACAAAGTTCCGCATGCAGTGGACGTTAACTTAACCCAGCAAGTCTGAACGATAACGGAACATAACGGAACTTAAACTTTAACGGAGGGAAATGAAGACGCTGTAGACATCTGAACGCTGATCGGCCAAGACTCGACACGTCAAAGATGTTTTATTGCGAAGATCACGACATCACCTTTTCTCCTCGTCTCACTCCAATCTGAGAAAGGCTGGCTGGCCAGTTGACCCCCCCCCCAAAAAAAAAAACCCCTCTGAAAAACGGATCTACACGATTCACGTGGATGATATATTTTGATTCAAAACGGCGAATTTCGCCGAAAAGCGACAAGTTTGCAGGTATGAATAAAGTTCTTGAAATAAAAAAAATTCTGCATTTCCCCCTGATTTCCCCCTGTGCCCCACCTGCAATACCTCCGCGCCCCACTAGAGGGGCGCGCCCCACAGTTTGAGAACCACTGGGTTAAATGAAGCAGGAAGTCTCACCTGACATTCCAGCCGTAGTAGTGGACCAAGTAGAACTGTTCTCCGTTGTCCAAGTCCGTCTTCTTGATGTGAGCTTCGTAGATCTTCTGAGTCTTCCCTCTGCCGTACTTCACCCGCACCTTCGTTCCCGTCACAGAGTCGCCATCCTCCTCCTCCTCCTCACAGCTGAGACACACACACACACTTTAATTAAACAGAACTATTACGTTCTTCAAGTTAAACACATGTAACTTTATACCACTAGAGGTCTCAGTCTAAACAACAACAGACGTCTGATGCTAACGTTAGCTCCGCTTGTTCCTCTGATAACTTAAGATCCAGACGTCTGATGCTAACGTTAGCTCAGGTTGTTCCTCCGATAACTTAAGATCCAGACGTCTGATGCTAACGTTAGCTCAGCTTGTTCTTCCGATAACTTAAGATCCAGACGTCTGATGCTAACGTTAGCTCAGCTTGTTCCTCTGATAACTTAAGATCCAGACGTCTGATGCTAACGTTAGTTCCTGGTTTGAATAATAAAGTCCACCAGCAGCACAATGTCTACTTTGTTTTGTAGGAAGCTGAATTATATCAATCTCACCCTTCTCTCATCTCTCTCTCCTCCTCTTCGTCGTCGTCGTCGTCGTCGTCGTCGTCGTCGTCCTCTTCTTCATCATCATCATCCTCCTCCTCCTCCTCCTCCTCCTCCTCCTCCTCCTCCTCAGAGCCTTTATCCGAGTCGTCCATTCTTCTGTTGCTGCGTCTTCTCACCTCCCTCTGCTCCTCACTGTTATCTTCTGCTGCTGCTCCTCCTCCTCCTCCTCCTCCTCCTCCCCCTCCTCCCTTCTCCAGTCTGGAGGGAGACTCTCTGTCTGTCTTCAGCTGACTCCCCACACACCTCCTCCTCCCCTACAACACGGACACACAGGAGGCAGAGAGAGAGATAGACAGGAGGGCAGAGAGACAATCTTGTGAGACCAGAGGAAAAATGTCTTCAAGAGAAGTTATATTTTTAGTCGATGGTCTCTAACCAACAAGTGTAACAACAGTTATTTATCTGAAAATAAATTAAAGGTGCTGTCTCACCCTCGGGGACGACTCTCTCTCCTTCATCTCCTTCTCGCTCTCACTCTCTGACTCCGCCTCCCCCATCCTGTCTTTGACAGGCTCCACCTCCTCTGGCAGCACAGAGGACTTGTTAAGCTCCGCCCCTGCCTGCTTCTGATTAGTCAGTGTGGTGGGAGGGCGGGGGTTGTTGTGATGGATGGTCCTGAAGGTGATGGAGGCGGAGCGGCAGTACTCCTCAAAACCATACAAATACCTGATGACAGAAACCACACCGTCAACCAACACCAGGGCATCATGGGAAAACAGGAGGGAGAGGTGGAGGAGAAACGCGACATGCGGCGCGACAAACGCGGGACAAACGGGGGGCAACGCGGGACAAACGGGGGGCAACGCGGGACAAACGGGGGGCAACGCGGGACAAACGGGGCAACGCGGGAGTGTCCTCTTACTTCTTGTAGGCCGTCTTGACGTTGTAGGACGCAGCAGAGTTCAGGACGGGGATCCCCAGATCCATGTAGACTTGCTTCCACACGGTCCCAGACTCAATCTGCAACACACAACACTCTGTCACAGCCAGCTGAACAGGAAGTGACATCACAGGACTTCAGCAGGTCACATGACCAAAGACAGAGAGACAGTCCTCACCTTATGGCAGCCTCCCAGGTGATAGACCAGTCTGAAGAGCTTGAAGAGGTTCAGGTCTTTATAACCCAACACTGGAGGCTTGTTGATGGGAGTCCCTGAAGGACAGACAGAGAGACAGCATGTTAGAACAGTCCTCTGATGATCCTCTCAGCTGTTTAGTGGAGACCACCATGAACCAGAAAGGGTCTTAAACTGGTATGTGATCCGTCCCAGTTCTCTGTACTGGTTTAACTTCTGCGGGTCTCACCTCGGTCCTCCATGAACTTATACAGCTGCTGCAGGAAGCTGTCTCTCTCCTCTGGATCAGGCTCCTCCTCCTCGGGCTGGACAGACACAGAGACAGACAGGTCAACATCTGGTCTACAGACAGGTCAACATCTGGTCTACAGACAGACAGGTCTACATGTGGCCCTCTCACCTCCTCCTTTAAGCGTTTCTTCTTCTTCTTCTTCTTCTTCTCCTCCTCCTCCTCCTCCTCTTCTTCGTCCTCTTCGTCACTCTCCTCTTCATCATCCTCATCGTCGCTGGAGGACGAGTCCAGGATCTGACTCATGTCCATCTTCCACATATCAGGGACCTCCCTAGTCCTCAGAAAGACCTGGGCTGCTTCAAAACCTGGAGGAGAGAGGGAAAAAGAGGAGCAGCAGGACGATCAGACAAAACGGAGAAAAAAAAATTTCTGACAGGCACGTCGGGGTTCTGGTGGATTGTGGGAGTTGTAGTTCCTCACCTCTCCTGTTGGAGAACTCAGACCTGGTGGAGCCGATGGAGGTGAAGGTGTGGACATGTCTCCTCGCCACTGTGTAGCTGCAGGAGGACAGGAGACAGGGAGGAGGTGATACAGGAGGAGGTGAGACAGGTGAGACAGAGCTGATGGGTTTGTGACCACAGATCAAGAAGAAACTCACAACTTGGAGTCGCTGAAGGCTCTGACCAGACACTGGTCCTTCTTCACCACTAGCTCATCGTTACAGCTGGGAGACACCACCTAGAGGACAGACAGGTACAGACTGTTTAAACACCAGGGCCCCGTTCCTTGTACGTGGTTCAGCTCAGTCAATCAAATGTCCTATTAGCAGCTTAAATTAACCCGATGATTGATGTCAGGCTATCTCGGTTTCTCCAAGGCTGATCCCAAACTGTCTCGTTAATTGGAACCAGACGATCAGGATCAGGATAATTGCGCGTGCCCGTCCTACTTCAAAAGGGGGAAGCGTCGATCACCGAAACCATGATTTTCTAACAGCACAATGTTAAATAAAGTCAAAGAAAGAGCCTCTTTTTACTCCGCTGACGAGCAGGAGATGATCATGAACGCATATGAGGAATTCAAGACCATAATCACGGCAACATCTAACACCTCCACCGCTGCGAGGGCTGGACAAGAAGCACGCAAAATATCACAGACACGTTAAATGTGTAAGTGTTGTAAATGTATCGGCTCATTTTAATGCCTCATCACCCCAATCAATCAGATGATATGTCTTTAAATGAGCTGCTGGCAGTAGGCTTAATGAATGCATCATCCAATGAGATCTATAGCGACAATAATGATCTCAACTCTTTCACAATAAGATAAAAACAAGCCCAAAGAGCATCTACTGATCCTCATTAATATGAGGATATATGTACTGTATGCCCTCATGTATCATGTACTATATATGTGTATATACATGTATGTGTAGATTACCATATAGAAATAGCAGTTTGAGTCTGTGTGTGAATCTGTGTGTGGGCGGATCAGTGTGTGTGTGTGTGTATTATTCATCATCAGACATTCAATCAACTGAAGCAGTGAAGATCAATAGTGTGTGATTCTCTCTGTTCTTATCATGAGTCCACCTTCATCATGTTCTACAGTAATGATATGCTGGTGTACTAATAACACTGTCATATCATTATGAGTGCTTTAACCCTCATGTATGCAACGCAGCCATCAAGAGGACATGGGAGCAAGTAAACACTAACACACACACATTACTCAGAATGCTGAGTCAGTACAATATGTGCCATGGTGATGTAATGAACACATCCATAAGTTTATTAAGCGCCTAATAAACTTTACCAACAGCACGGCATGCAGCGGCTTTCCCCATGTTCTCCGCATCGCCGACACTGTACAACAATGTACCACTCGCAGAACAGCTCAAGGCTGCATCCAGTGTGTGAGACATCAGTGCTCGGCTGCAGCGTGTGGTGTTCAATGTATGCTCCAGAAGGTCTGTAAATAAATGATTCCTTGTGGGCAGAATGGATAGCGCTCGTATAGGAAGTCTTCATGATGTGATAACGGATCTTGGCGATGTGGAAGAACTCTCTCCCTATAAAACGCTAATCTAACTAATATCCTCCTTCATCAGTGGATCTCTGAGGAAGGGAGCTGTACATTAATGCAATAGAGGCTTCTTAGTTTGCTCAGCTGCTTTAATGGATCACCGTGTGTCTCACTTTACATGCATTTCTGGAACTCCCGTATAACCCCCGGTATATGCGCAAGCGCATTAGACTACCGTATGTGACAGGAGCTGCCATGTTTTCCGGGGGAGTGGCAGCTTATCCGGCTACCTTCAGTTAGCCTGCGCTGGAGCAGCTTCAAGCTTATGGATG